TAAGCCCCATAAGCAGGGTGGATGCACCATAAGCAGAGGCATCCACCCAGAGCTCCAGCTTTTTGACTCCCTCACCATAATCAGGGTATGCCAATTCTAAATCATTTTTCATCTCAGCCTTAAGCAAATCAAATGAATTTATCATTTCTGGGGTCCATTCAAGAGTTTTAGATCGTTTACCACCTGTCATACAAGATAATGGTTTTTGAATCTCAGATCAGTTTGGCAGGTATTTATGTTGAAAGTTAGTAAAACCCAAAAATTCCCTTAATTCTTCCTACATTTTCAGGACGAGGGAAATTAGCTACTTTCTCAAGATAAGCAGGGGTCTTCCTGATGCCTGATCAACTGACTACATGACCAAGGTATTCAACTTGGACTGAAACCAATCACACTTTTATGACTTAACTTTAACGTCATAAGAAAGTAATGTCTGCAAAACCTTGGCTACCAGTTTAAGATGTTCTTGAAAAGTTGAACCCATAAATAAAATGTCATCTATATACACAATAACCTTATTGGATTGAAAAGAACTCAAGACTGCCTGAATCTCTCGCTGGAACGCAGCTGGCGCATCACGAAGACCAAAACTCAACTGCTTGAACTGTCAGTGGTTCCGTGGGGTGCTAAAAGCTGTTGGGGCTAGTTCACTCTTCAATTGATATCTGGTAATAACAACGTACTAGATCTAACTGTGTGAAGTAATTTGTGCCATGCAACCCATAAATAGAGTGAGCTAAATTTGGAACCGGAAATTTATCAGGAAAGGTAATGCGATTGAGCTGCCGGTAGTCAATGCACATCCTAATTGAGCCATCTTTCTCTCTAATAGGCACTAGTGGTGATGACCAAAGGGAACTCATTGGTAGCCTCCAAGAAGGGCTGCCTTAACTGGATGGCACATTGTTTCTTGTCATTAGGATATGTAAGCTTGAATAATTCAATTAGTCGCACTCCAAAAATATCGTGAGGCTCATTAGGCTTCGGGGAGGCAACCGGCAACTCTACGCCAGTGCCGTCTTCCCTTAAGGTGCTGTTTCTTTTAATAGGCAAGCAATTCCTCTTTCATCTTCTCATACTTTAATCTTCGGCCACCTCTTACACAAAAAACAGTCAATAGATCACCATCAAGGAAGTCAGCTAGCTTCTGAGATTTATCATACGAGTTGCCCTTAAACTTCTTATCAAAGTAGTTCTCAAATGTGACTAAATATTCCTTGAGGCTAACTGTATCACTCATGCTGAATTTCGTTGGCTCTACTACTTCACGGTGGTCCAAATACCTGTTATGCATGCACCGTTCACCATGGTACCTTGGTGTCGATTCATTGCATGATGTATCAGCAGATGAGGAAGCCACACTAACACCATGAGTACTATCAGAGGAGGCTTCAGAACATGAAATGATAATTTCTTCTATTCTAACAAATTTCTTAGAATTTGGTCTCTTCTTCTTATTTGAGGTCTTTCTCTTTCTTGGAGTAGAATTGCTAGAGCAACTAACAGCGCTCTGCACTTTTGTTGCTTGGATTGTCTAACCAGCTCCAACAGCTGATGAGGCTCTGGGTAGTTCTCCATAGTCACTTGATTCAATGTGCGTGCAGCGCAAGTCTGCACTGACATTGTCCCAGTAGCGATCTGTTGCAAGCAACTGTAAGGTAGTATACCATTCATTGTAGGATAGGCACTTCCCAGCATTATCATAGCTTGTCAATAAAAGTAAATCTTACTTGTCAATTAGTTTGTGTAGATGGTAAGAAGCAGCTTCACTTCTTGCATGAGATGCTCCGAACCCACTGCCAACCCAACCTGGAAACAAGATCCATCTTAGCTCATCCAAGATGGGTAGTAAATTAGGGTTAACATTGCAACCAAAATATCTGTTGATAAGGTCAGCTCTCACTTGAGGGTGGGCAAATTGGACAAGAAGTGACTGGAAGTTCAGAGCCTCAATAAGAACTGGATTGGACTCGGGAGAATTGTCACCAGGCTGAATTTTCTCTGCTTGCAGAGGTAATGCATCTGCTGCTGAATTATTAGTCACTGATGCCTCAACAGACTGCACCACTTCAGAATCAGGATTGAATGCACTTGTCTGCACAACTTCACTAGGCTGCCCACGCTCCCCAACTGATGACCTCAGACTAGTTCCAGAATGCAGCATAATTATGATGTCAAAAATGTTAGGTGTCTACTATGGTGTGAGATAGAAGAATGTATGTATGAGATCCCGTCAGATGCCAATATGTTACCGGTGTCTCAATGCTGGTGAGTCGAACTCGCCGCCTACTTTATCTGACTGGTTAGTAACAAAGAATGAACTTGACTAATATGATGACTAAATTTGGAAAAGGAAAAGAAATGCAAATACTGGTTTTAATAACTATTGGGGTCTCATACAGTTAGAGTGACAGGAAAATGATAGAATGAATCAAAGGGAATGTGTAAAAATGATTAATTTTAGCTGAACTAAATATGACTCCAAGTAAAAATGCACACAGACCAATGAGTAAAGTGCACACCAATAAATGCTTCCAATATCCCGTTAGTTAGAAGGTTATAGGGAGCGTTCAAGCAAATCTCACTCAAATGGTTAGGGACTAGGGAGTGTGGAACAGCAATTAATTCAGCACCACAATTTAGAATAGGTTTTGATACAAATTTAGATAATCAGTTACTGATCTAGCCCTGACCTGAAAAGAATGAGAATGATTACAGTTGAATCAATAAAATAGTTAAACACTTCAATAGAAAACACACAGTAACACACATAAGAGGGGAAAAAGGGGACACTAATAAGAGGGACAAGAGGGTGTGCTGCAAAGTAGCCTAAACCATCCCTGCCAACAATATCTTTCCCTGATGGTAGTAATTAAGATGTTTAAGGTGATAATGATTTAGGAGATAATAGGGAGTAGTCACTCAAGATGTAAAGGTTTGATTGGAGTTAATAATTAAAGTTTGGAGTTTGAGTTAATAATTAAATAATTAGTCATGTTAATTAATGCCAAACGTCTTCCTCTATTAATGCATTTTGTTGTTAGATGTTATAGAGAGGGTGCAAGTTGGGCTGGATGGTGCTTGGGTGATCACCAGTGGGATTGGGTTGACTTGTCTAAATGGGGGTGGGCATGTTGACTGACGTGTGTTTATTTCTTGGTGTTGTAGGCACCTACATCTTGAAAATGGGTTGATGGGTGTCAGAGAGATAAGAGGTGCAAGTTGGTTGTTTGGGTTTGTTGATGTGAATAGTTGAGGGCTGTGACTAGGTTGAGTGCAGCTCACCATCAGCCCCCATGGTCAAAAGATGGTGTGCATCGCACAAATGCTCTCCTTGCCTCCCGATTGGTTGCAGTCTCTGCTTTTTTTTCTTGCACAGCAAGAGATGGGCAAGTATTTTAGAGTTTAGAGCATTTGATCCTCAAGTGCCTTTGCAACACACTGCAACATTTACACTACACAGGCATTGTAGATTCACTGTCTTGTGCATTAATTTTTTGTCATTCTTTTCATTGGTGCAGATTGAGTTTTGTTTTTACTAGAGGCAATTGAATAATTGAGTTGGGAAATAGTACTCATCAGAAAGTTACTTAGATCAATTTAATTAGCTCAGAGGTTTCTGTGCATATGTGGCAAAATTATCAATCTCATGACTTTCTACAAGCAAATTACAAACATTACAAAAAGAGATAACAGGTCAGACTTGACATAAATTTCAACGCCTACACCACTGTATTATACTGGTTAATTGAGTTGAATTTGATCAGCTAAAGCTTTCAGGCTTTCATGCAGGTGGCTCGGAATTATTTCAGTAAAAGCTGTTTTGCATTTGTCCTCATGCTTTCAATTGCTTGCTTTACTTTATTTTTGCTTTTTCAGGTTCAGTCTCTTTTGAACTATTGTTGAAGAAAGAGGGGTTCCATTACCTTCACTGCATTTTCAGTATCTGCTTATAATCCCAGTCAAGTCATATGGCTGGAAATTCAGAGTGGGCTGATCTCATGCTGATTTCAATGCCACTAACTTCGCCACAGCTACAGCACTTATATTGTGGGCCTGGCTTTATATTTGGGGAGTGGTGACTCTGAAAAAGACATTCAGTAGTCAGGCCTTTATACTGGGTAGATGCATCACATATTCGTAACTGTTGATCCTAGGAGGAGCGCAGAAAATGGAGTCAGGAGTGATATGCAATATTAGAGCAGAGGTTAGAGGGCGGACTGGGCGGCATTAGTATTTTCTCACTAATTAATGAAATCTTATGGCTGAAGGCATCAAATTTTCATTACATTTGGAATCTGGCAGCGAAAACATGCTTTTTTGTTGACAATTAGATGGGATGTAATTCATGTAGTGGGAACCTTGTGGCTCTGATAATAGTGGGAAAGCTCAGGTCTTGGCTTGAAAAGTAGATATATTCCTTGCCTGCTGCCCTGCTAGAGGGGTGGGAAAGTTTATGTTAAGGGCAAGATATAAAAGATAAATATTTTAAGTTCAGGAGGAAAGTTTCTGGTCTATTGCTGGCTTGCTTATGTGTCTGACTTATTGCACTGTAGTTTTTGAAATTAGTATATTGGCTATATATTGAGAGCTCCCTGGCTATACATAATTATTTGTTTATTTTCTTTACTATTATTCTTATTTTATTATCGTTGCCTTCAAAAGAAACGATTCATTTATTAACAATACTGAGTCATAATGGCACAACTATTTAAACAAATTTCACTTCAATGTATTATCCCGAATTTCATCTGCAGTGATATCATCATCAACATGTATGCATCAATAATCTTTGATGCGGCAAAAAAATAATTACATGCCGTTGTAGCAGTTTTAGCTTGAATTATTTTTGTTTTGTGACATATGTTTAAATTAAACCTTTTGTTTGAGATTGTACTGTACTTTGTAGAATTCCCTATAGTGTTTACCCATCATTGCTGCCAACATTATAGACTAGAAACTTCAACCTCAATGATTTTCAATTCTTGTCGCATGTGAAGATGGCATCCAGTACCAAAGAATGCAGGGATATGCTGCACCAACTCTCAGCTGGTGCAGTCTGCAGTGGCAGACGTCCTGAGCCAAGCCTCTCTCAAGCATCTCCTGTTGCAGTCTGCAGTGACAGATGCCCTGAGCCAAGCCTCATTTTAGCATCTCCTGGTGCTGGCAAAGTCAAGTCTGAAGGTAAGCCAAATTCCATGTGCCTCATCAATTTGAACATCAGAGGAAAAATTGAGTTTAAGTACTAAGTTTCTTAAGAATTTAACTATGATATCTGATACAATAGTGGGATAATATAACATCTCCCGAGTCACTCATCGGTGTGTTATGAAATTTTTTGTGTAAAGCTCACACGACTACTTAGTTTCATGAATATTTTATGTATTTACTGTTAAATGTCTTGCTCCCCTTTATAATAGAAGGCTATCAATGGACTTATTTTCTAGCCTTGGAAATGATTGACCCTTCTCCAGTCATCAAAGTTTCTGCTATCTCCATCAAAAAAGAGCTTGATGATGAAACTGAGGCCATATCCATCAAAGAAGAGCCCTTCTTGTATGGATATGAGGTAAATTAAGCTAATATGTTAATGGATATTTTGTAAAGCATTTGAAATGGCAGCATTGCCACCATAGATCTTCATGAAAAATTATCTGAGTGCTATTTCCATATTTCAAATCTATTAGCATCTACAAGTTAGGCTTCAAGTGATAAACCTTTTTCATTATTATGTTTTCCTCGTTAAAGAATTATTACTAGGGATTAGGCACATGTGTCTCAATTTAGTAATTGGCAGGATATTATGAGAAATATGGTTAAGAAATACCTACATTATATTTGCTGTCCTAAATACAAACTCACAAATTTTTACCATTGTTGCATTTAGCCAAATAAAAATGAAACGTAATGACCTTTATTGGCAAAATTACACTCAGAACTGTCATAACTTTTCTTCATTAAATGGTTCTTCTCTGTTTGTCAATGAATAAATGAAAATTAGTAAAAAATTGCAAGGAAAAGTTATGGAGGACAAGCCACCACATAATTTTCCTGGCATGTCAATATTATTTTCCACTCAAGTGATGAGACTACGGTATGCAATACAGTACAATCTATCACGTTTATAAATGTCAATTTTGGTGCAACAGAAGCCAAAAATGTGCACTTGCTTTTGCAATTGCCACTTGAACTTATTTATTCATTCTAAATTTTGAAATGGTAGAGTGAAATGTTTTTACTTGTGAAGCATTGATTGGATAAAATATTTCATAGACAGAAATTTGCGATTCTACCATTCAATAGCTTTTGAGAAGTAGGAACTTACACAGAATTTTATTCAGATTTCTATACTTTATCCTTCTTCATAAATTGCACACATCACTGCCAGCAACATGACATCGTCCTCCACTTCTCCGCAGGCTTGCCCAACTGAACAGCTCAGCCATGCACCTGCATCCTCCTCTTGTTTGCCATGCAAGACGGAAGTTCAAGTTGAGGATCATGGCAACCACACAAGCTCATCACAGAACATTTCTGCCCTGTTGGTCAATCAGGTATATTCACTAAGCCTAATTTTTATGATTTTTTTAAGATTAAATTTTACTAAGCGCTAATTTTTACGATTCAAGATTTTCCCAACTCTTTGAAATTTGGTCAATCAGGTATATTCTCTAAGCCTAATTTTTATGATTTTTTTAAGATTAATTTTTGCTAAGCGCTAATTTTTATGATTCAAGATTTTTCCCAACTCTTTGAAATTGCCAATCTTTTGTTTTATTGTTGGTATTTAGTTATAAAGTGAGCAAGTGGAACTGTAAAGATTCGAACAAATGCACTTTTTCTCAAAATAATAATTTTGCATATGAAATCTAATGATATTCAATCTGCAAAAATTGATGGTATTACTTTTGGTTTCCCCTAAGTACGGATTCCATCCTTGAACTAGACATCTAGTTCAAGCAGTGTAGGAAATTGTAGGAAGGAACCTTGAGCTTATTACATTAAACAGAATTTCCCCACTCTTCTTATGCTTCTGGGATCACATCTAAGGAATCTTGGAAAAATCTACATTATATGGAAAGGACCTGTTCAAGATGAATTTCTTTGTGTTCCAACAGTACTTCTTTCATCTTGAAGTTGTCAATGGTCTGTTTTGGTGAACATATTGTGTGCAGACACAGCGAGTCAAGCCCTGCTACATGTGACAGTAGGCTGTTTGAATAAATAAACAAAATTATCAGTAAAATATTGAGCATTAGAAGAGTGAAACTCAATTGCAAAAAATGAATATTTTATTCAGCTCAGTAATTCTGAGAATATTGTTATAATTCTGAGAATATTGTTATAATTCTGAGAATATTGTGGGTACTGCCTTGCTGCAAAAGTGTCCCAACACACTAGCCAACCCACAGCTCTATTGGAAATTGGCTTCCGAATTTAAAAGTTAATGTATCTGAAATCAAATTTTTAAATTTACATGAGTAATAATTTTCAATTCAGTTTTGGTTTCATTCATGCTTAAGGTTGAAATCTCAAATCAACGGCTCACATTGAGACCAAGTAATTGTAACTCGCTTATTTGCACAAGACAGGATTTAATGCTGCGAGGTCCTTGCATGAACCAGAATAGACTGGTAAATTTCAATTCTCTCTTCATATATGTCAAAATTTTGATTTTAGTTTGAGACAACTAAAAGATTCTATGAAGAATCAAAGCTGCTGGATGGATATGGCTGTTGATAATAATGTTAATTTTTTTACTTTGTTTTTATAACTAGTGCAAAGCTGGTGGGTCAGCATCAGCATCAGGAGACGCTGCTGACGACGCTGGCGTCTCTGGGGCGTCCAACTCCAGGGAAGGCATGAGCCTTAGTTGTTCCCAGCGTGGATTGGTGCCTGCAAGTGCAGGTCAACAGCAGCTGCACATTCATCAAGAACATCTTGCTTCAGGACCCCATCGTTGCTCTGACTGCGACAACACCTCTAGTTCAGGGAGTGGACTGCAGCAGAAAATTAATGCTATACATTCGATAAAAGACTCGTTGCAGTGCCAAGACTGTGGTTATAAATGTACCTCAAAGAAATTAATGCAGAAGCATATAGCTTGCAAACACTTATGCAAAAGTCAACACCAGTGTCACTTCTGTTTAAATTTGTGTGACACAAAAGCTGAACTCAAACAACATATTCTCTTGAGGCATCCTCAGGGAAATTCACAGAAATTTTCTAATGGTAAATATGCTGATGGTTGTAAAAAAATCCTTCACAATCATTGCATTTCTAAACAGTCAACAATGAAGAAAATGGGCTACTCGGAGGGTGATTTTGCTTGCACTACAAAAGGAAGCTTGAAAAGGCATTTTCTTTATAAACATTCAACAGAAAAACATATTCAGTGTTCTGAGTGTGATTATGCTTGCACCACAAAAAGAAACTTGAAACGTCATTTTCTTCACAAGCATTCAACAGAAAAACTAATTCAGTGCTCTGAGTGTGATTATGCTTGTGTCACAAAAGGGAACTTGAAACAACATTTTCTTCACAAGCATTCAACAGAAAAACATTTTCAGTGCCCTGAGTGTGATTATGCTTGCACCACAAAAGGGAACTTGAAACTTCATTTTCTTCACAAGCATTCAACAGAGAAACCTATTCAGTGCTCTGAGTGTGATTATGCTTGTGTCACAAAAGGGAACTTGAAACAACATTTTCTTCACAAGCATTCAACAGAAAAACGAATTCAGTGCTCTGAGTGTGATTATGCTTGTGTCACAGAAGGCAAGTTAAAACGTCATTTTCTTAACAAGCATTCAACAGAAAGACCTTTTCAGTGCGCTGAGTGTGATTATGCTTGCACGACAAATGGGAACTTGAAACAACATTTTCTTCAAAAGCATTCAACAGAAAGACCTTTTCACTGCGCTGAGTGTGATTATGCTTGCACTGCAAAAAGGGACTTGAAACGTCATTTTCTTCACAAGCATTCAACAGACAAGCCAATTCAGTGCGCTGAGTGTGATTATGCTTGCGTCACAAAAGAGAGCTTGAAACAGCATTTTCTAAATAAGCATTCAATAAACAAATCAATTTAGTGTTTTGAGTGTGATTATGCTTGCACTGCTAGAAAGCACTTGAAAAAACATTTTTCCAGCAAACACTCATCAGAAAAATCCCCCCAAGTGGACTTGTATCAAAAATGCTTTTTTGAGAAGCTTCTGTTCTCCAGACAAATATTATTAAAATGATTAATTGAACCAAGTGTAAATGTGCATGCTGGGTGCGTACCGGTCATGGAAAACCTGGAAAGTCATGGAATTTGAGTTTTCATTTTGCAGGCCTGGAAAGTCATTGGATTTCATTTCAGGTCGTGGAAAGTCACGAAAAAAATGCGCTTTGATTTCCCTCATTAAGGTTGATGTTGGTTACATGGCCAGGACCGCGATAAAAAAACAGCTTACAGACAAGAAGGCAAGTGCACTGCAAGTTCTCACTTTCAAGACATGAACGCGGGACTTCATGCAGGCTGTAGTCCAAAAACTACTGGACAAGAGCCCTATCAGGTGTGGCCTTGGTAGGAACCTGAGATGGCCGGTGCCAAAAGTCATCATAAAGAAGGAGTGTAAGGAAGCCAACAAGACACAGTAGAACTGTCTCACTTTGCTTGTTGATGCCAAGAGATTCCCTAACACAGATGTGGATGGTGTTGTGCAATGAAATGTGCAACTTTAGAGATGAATCACAACATTGCAGTGAAATGAACGCACAGTTTTAAGCATTTTAAACTTCTGATCGACTGGACACTTTTTAGCATGCAATTCTATCAAAGAACACCTACAAGAAGCTGGAATGTAGTGCAGATGCTCATGCTCCTGTCTCATGGCCAAACCACGGTTGGAAGAGGGTTTTCGTTCAACATGGAAATCATGACGCACAACTTGAAAGAGCGAACGGTGGTTGCCCCGCGTGCTGTGGTTGATCATGTTGAACATGGTGGTAGCCTGTCAAGATGACCATCACCAAGAAGATGCTGCTTGCAGCTGGCAGTGCCAAAACAGCCTAAAATAATTATGTGGCAGAAGAGAAAGTAGAATGCGAAGGCCCAGAAAACCCAGGAGAGGAAGGCTTCGTTGGATGAGCTAGATGAACTGAAGAAGAAGAAAAGGCGCACGGAGGAGGGAATCGAGGCGCTTGGGCAAGCAGCAGATGAATATGCAGAAGCAATGGCGAGAAAGGGGGATTTGAAAATTATCGCGAAGTTCAACGCCATGAGGCGACTTTGAAAACAAAGCAACAGGAGCTAGACACTCTTGAACTGAACATTAAAGAAAAAGTTCATGAAATTGCTGCCAGTTAAATGTTAGGGTAGTTGTGTTGAATCGTGTTCTGTACTGTATTGACATAATCATGTACAATCTTGTGTGCATTACTCAATATTTGTTGTGATTTGACACCATTGAATTCATAATAATACCAGTGTGGGCTTGCTTTTCAGATTTGTGTCATTTTTGTTTCTCTGTGTCTGCCTGCTCTACGCATTTACACGTTTGCTATTTATCAACTGTAGGAGATGACAGAATATGCACAGTTAGTCCATCAGTCATGCTAAACCTGTCGTATACGAGTCTTGGAAAATTATATTGATGGTCATGGAAAGTCATGGAAAAGTCATGGATTTTTTTCTAAATGCCAGTACGTACCCTGTTATGGATTTCCGTTATTCTTATATGGAATTCAACATCAATCTCCCATTTGGGAGATTTTACTGAATAAAATTTGTTTGGTAAACCTTCTAATGTTTAAGTAATATTGCCGTAAGTTAAAAAATAAGAGATATATTTGTATAACTTTCTTATTTCCGGAAAGCCTTGTTCATGATTAAGGTTGAATTTGTGTTTTATTTGATGCTATGGGACAGATTCATTTATTTTGCATACTCAATGTTGCAACAAATGATAAACAAAACTGGGCGACACTTTCAGTCTCAGTGGCCGAGGTTGTGTCCAACATGTTTATTGGAACGGTAATTGAAAGTAAATGCTCTTTCTTCATAATGTTTTTCTTTCTTCCTGAAGGCAGTTATTATGATGCTCAAGATGATAATATGGAGTGGAGTCAATTAAGTCATAAATTCTGGATTTTTATTCCGTTCACTAATTGTAGTTGATACGTTTGTTGGCAGACTTGTGTGCGATTTATACACGGTGCGCTTCGTTAGTGCGTTAGTAGACGCGTCATCGGGGGTGGTGATTGGGGTGGGTGGGTTGAGAACTGTAAGTGGGTTGAGTGGTGCAATGGGCCGAGTGGTATAAATGGGTTACCTGGTATAAATGTGGTGGGTGGTTTTACTAATGTGAATTTGTTGACTGGGGTGAGTGGGTTTGTTTGCTGTGAACGGTTGAGTAACAAGAGAGAGTTGAGTTCAGTCCATCAGTGATAGGTCAGCCCCCGGGGGCAGAAGGAAGAGCGCGTCACATGGTTGCGAACCGGCCTACCCTCGCCACCCTATCGGTTGCAGTCTCTGTGCACGGTTTTTTACACGGTAAAAGACGAGCGAATATATTGGAGCATTTGATCCTTGAGCGCCTTTGCAACACGCTTTGGCGTTTACACTACACGAGCTTCGTAGTTTCACATTTTCACGCGTTAATTTTTTGTCATTCTTTATTTTTCAATTCATTGGGCTAAATTTTGTTTGTAGTAATGGTAATTGATTTTCGTATTAATAAGACATATTTGATGGGGTCGTTGAATAGTACACTAGGAAAATTTACTCAGATCAACTCAAAAAACAAAAACATTACAAAGTAGCGATAACAGGCCAGACTTGCCATAAATTCCAATGCCTATGCTACGCTATTATACAGGTTAATTGAGTCGGATTTGATCCGCAAAAATTTCCGGCATCGTGTACGCACTGCTAGGAATTGTTTTCAGTAGAAGCTGTGGATGACAGCCACCTATTTTTAGGCACAGTTCCTGTTTGGGCAAGGAGCTGCATAATGCATGGACGACAGAAGAGGAGAGCGAATCAAGGCGATGTCGAAAGAGGACGTTCCTGCAAACCCCTCTGTTTCCTTATATTTGTGAAAGTGATAAACGATCACTCAATGATCAATTCATCTGAGGGTCAAGATCTAATTGATCCTGGTGCTTCACCAAACGCATCAGAGCTGACAATGACCGATTCACAACTCAGACATTTCTGTGAAACTGAGATTATTGGCGGTAATGGCGGAAGAGATGCAACTCCTTTCTCGCCCCAAGATGGCAACTCACCAGAATCATCAGAATGTGGAGCGGCTCGTCGGAAGCGCAAGAGTGCGCCTGCTGCCATTGAAGAAAGGTCGGGAGATGCAAAGAAGCGGCCTAATACTGGAACAATTTCAGATTCCATAGTGAAATCTACTCCAAGGAATACCAATGTTGTTGGATCGCACTTGCCCACCTAAACTGATCAACAAGATTCCTGGGTGGTCCTCATCCGCCCAGCAGATGATGGCTCTAAACGAATGCTGACCTCACCTGAGCAGCTCAGCTCAGTACTGGAAGCTCCACCATTTTCAACCATGCGCGTGGAAGATATTCGAGTGAATCGCAGAAAAGGTTTGATTGTTGTCCAGCTATTTGATGGCAATGAAAAGGATATTGCTTTTCTTTTGCAAATGACTCAGCTTGGCCCATGGTCAGTTAGGTGCTTCCAACCTACAGTAATCAAGGGAAGTATTGTTATGGAGTCATCACTCCTGTTGATATTGAAGCTGACGTAAATGCTATGGATAGGAGAGTTCAGGTAGATGGCCCTAGTAAATTTTTGAAGATGGAAAGACTGAACAGGAACTTAGAATGCAAGCGTGTTCCTTCTACTTCAATTATAATCACTTTTGAAGGCAAGGAGCTTCCTTCAAAGATCAAAATTGGTTAAATCTCCTACTCCATACGAGCTTACTCTTTTCCACCGTTGCAGTGCTACAATTGCCAACGCTTTGGACACTCTGCTGATGGCTGCACTAGTCGAAGAAGATGCCTGGTTTGCTCATAAAATCACCATTACAAGGATTGTAACAGCAAGAACCCAAAATGTGCAAATTAAGGTGGTCCACATAAGGCCAATTGAGCAGATTGTGTGAGGGCCCCAGGGCATGCAGATAGAGCCAGACCAAGAAACGATGGGGTGAGTAACACTACTGTGAGTAGGAGAGGAAACCTAATGGTTGGAAATAATTTGCTGAAGTTTAATGACGAGAGGCGCCATGATTCATGAGTGCATAGCATGAGAGTGTCAGCTGATGTCTTTCATTGTTTGAATAGCCCAGTCCAGTGATTTTCTCCTGCTCCTCCGTTGTTTAGTGATGTGATCTCAGGTGGACTTCTTGTTGATGATCCTAATACGGCTAATAGTAACTCTAACCGCGCTTCCATTTCTTGTGTAACAGCAAATCAAGGGTTTCTTACTACACCGGTTGAATTTTTCTCTAGTCTAGTTGGTTGTCAGACAGATCTGTTTGCTCTTCCTTTGCATAAGGAATCTCCTGCCAAATCTCGTTCACTGATAAACTCTGCAGTCCAAAAGCACTTTAGGTTGACTTTACCTGCATCTTCTTTGAATTGTATAGTTCTTGGTAAATCATCTGTAGCTGTTTTGGATAATGTAGAGTCAGCACTTGGTGTAACAGTGACATCACCTAATCCTGATGCAGGTGTTTGTTCTGGTGATGAAGATCTCGGTTCATGTCTAGGTGTTGACAACTTTAAGTTGGTCTCTGATTCGGATATGTCTGGTGAGGATGGAGCGGGTAGCAAGGACAAGGAATGTTGCCGGCTGACTGGAAAGAAGCTCAAGTGACACCTATTTGGGTGGATCGCGCTGCGGCAGCCGGAGAGCAGCGGTTCGTCTCACTCACTAACCACAGTAGTCAAGAGGCAGATTCGAGCATTTATTGAATCTGACCATCTGGTGGCTCCGGAAGAAAGAGTGAGGCGGGAGTCGGGAAACGGAAATCAAGAGCTCGGAAGGCGAGTGGCCAGCAGACTGGCCGATGGTGACATAAGGGGAGCTGTGCGTATGCTGGCATCATCGGATGATATTGCCCCGAGGGACGATAGAACCCGAGAAGAGCTCCGGCAGAAGCATCCTCCGGCACCTGAGGACCTATCTCTCCCTGAACCTGCAGGAGAAGACTACCCACCTCCTTCTATCGTAGGGGAAGGGGATGTGAGGAAAGCCATCGCTTTCTTCAAGCCGGGTTCGGCGGGTGGCTCGGACGGGCTCCGCCCGGGTCATCTGGTGGCCCTGATTTCGCGGAAGGCGGGTGAGGCTTACCGGGTTCGTCAACCTGGTGATTGGAGGGCGGGTTCCTGAGTTTGCAAGACCGGTGTTCTATGGAGTGCGCCCTACGGAAAAAAGACGGGGGTATTCGCCCCGTAGCGGTTGGGAGCACCTTGCGTCGCTTGGCTACCAAGGTTGGAGCATGGCCATTGTCTCCGTTAATAGGGGAAGCACTTCAGCCGGTCCAATTGGGGTTCTCCACCAGGGGTGGGTGCGAGGCTGCTGCTCATGCAGCCCGTGCGTACCTTGGGCGTGCCTCGGGCCGGAGAGTGTTTTTCAAGGTTAACATGGCGAATGCATTCAACAGCCTGCGACGTGACGTGTTCCTGGCTGCTGCGCGGGCGAAAGCGCAGGGAATTTATAGAATGCTGTACCAAGCATATTCGGAACCGTCCCCTCTATTCTTTGGGGGGTAGAGATTGGTATCCGCGACCGGCATACAACATGGCGTTCCTTTTGGCCCTGCTTACGCCGGGTGAACACTGAGTTTAACGTTTGGTATTTGGATGATGGATCTTTGGGCGATAAACCAGAGACAGTTCTCCAGGCAGTACAAAAACTCGTTGAGGACTTTAGAGCCGTAGGGCTGGAGGTAAACCAGGGGAAGTGTGAACTGATCATACTGAACCATTCAAGAGAGGAAGAACTCGAAGCTGAGGAGATGTTTCGGGGGGTGTTGCCAACACTAAAAGTTGTTCCCGCCCATAAGTCACTTCTACTGGGTGCCCCACTCCACGAGGGGGGCGTCTCCGCCGTTATCCGGGAGAAGCGGGTGGGCTTGGAGAGGATGGTGGAGCGTTTAAAATTAATTGATAGTCATCAAGCATTTACGCTTTTAAAGAATTGATTCGCTCTACCTAAACTCCAATACGTCCTACGTGCGTCTCCTGCATATACGCGGGTAGGTGATTTGGAGCGGTTCGATGAGGTGTTGGTTTCTGCCCTCTCGACCATCACCAATGTCAGCTTCGAGCGCGAATCTCTTGAACAAGCTGTGTTACCGGTCCGGCTGGGAGGTCTGGGTATCCGTATGTCTAAGGACATCGCGCTCCCTGCATTCATATCGTCACTCCACTCCGTCCGTGTTGGAGTGGACAGAGGGGATGGTAAGAGACCAGATGGCTTAACGGTTTTCCCATTTTCTAATGGGAGGTGTTTGTGCTGGGATGCAACCTGCGTCGACACTTTTGCTGAGTCTCACGTCAATAATTCGGCTATTTCTGCTGGGTTCGCGGCTCGTGCGGCGGAGGATAGCATGAGACGTAAATACGCGGCGTTGGCAGCTCGGTATCGTTTCGAGCCAGTCGCATTAGAAACGACGGGCATATATGGTGAAACGACTGGTCCTTTAATATCACAGATTGGCCGTCGCATTACGAAATTGTCCGGCGAACGTAGAGAGACTCTATGGTTGGAGCAAAGGCTGGGTTTGGCTGTGCAGAGAGTCAATGCAGCTAGCATCCTAACAGCAGTCAGAGAAAAGTTCGACGTGGGCCCGCTCCTCGCTCGTGTCACAGCTCAGTCGGTGTAGGCCACCATCAGAGGCGTTAAGGTCGAGGCCCTGATCATTGACATGAAACCATTCCCTGTTTTTAATTAATAATATTAATTCCTTTTTGTTGGAATGGTGAGTGTGGGAGGCCTTTAAAAAAATCAAAGCTTTCAACTTGGTATGCAGCTTTCATCCTGGAAAGAGGGAGTTGTTCTCCCTATTTTGAAGCCTGGCAAAGATCTCAGCCATTCTTCATCCTACCGGCCAATAACCCTATTCTCATGTCTCGGAAAGCTGCTAGAACGACTTGTTGCTGCTCGTCTTGAGTACATAGTAGATCGCAAGAAACTTCTGTCATCAAGTCAATGTGGATTTCGTCGACAGAAGAGTACTATGGACGTTCTCATTAGACTAGAGAGTCAGATACGTACGGCACAAGCAGCATCCGAAGTGTGTTTGGTTGTTTATATAGATCTGCAGGGGGCGTTTGACAAAGTATGGATTGATGGACTTCTCTATAAGCTGGCACGAGCTGGAATATGTGGAGCCCTGTCACGATGGCTTCATGCTTACCTGAATTCCCGAACTGCCAGTGCTAGAGTGAATGGGGTACTGTCAGAGGCACTTCCCATGCTGGCAGGGGTGCCTCAAGGTGCTGTACTGAGTCCCCTCCTCTTCAATCTTATGCTAATGGATACTCCGTAGCTTGCCGGCATAGAGGTGTTGCTTTATGCAGATGATATCACCATCTGTTGCCGTGGCCCAACCATGCATGACGCAAAATCTCTCATGCAGAGATACTTGAACGAGTTTCATTCATACTGCACAACATGGGGCTTTGTTGTGAATACACAAAAAACAGTTTTCCAGTATTTCACTGCTAAACGGGTGAATGTTCCAGTACTGAGATATAATCATCAGCCTATCACATACAGGCGTCAACACAAGCTGCTTGGAGTGATGTTTGATGCCCCGCGCCTCAAGTGGGTCCCTAACCTCACTTCTCTGCATGTAGATGTGATGAGACGTATGGATTTGCTGAAACATATGGCTTCTCCAAACTGGGGTGCAAGTTTCCGGTTCTTGCCCCTATTCTACTGTGCCTACATTAGAGTCAAGATAGACTATGGTAGTGTTCTGTATGGAACAGCTTCATCTGCCCAGTTGAAAAGTTGGAAAAGCTCGACGGACAACACCCATAGTGTCTCTCCAGGTAGAAGCTCAAATTCCTCCATTAAGTTTGAGACGCCGCTACCTGGTTGCCAGCATGTATGTACGCCTAAAATATTGTCTATAATAATACAATATAATAGTGTATAATATTGTATTGTATAAACTCTGAAATCGTTCTTAGTGATACACCCTCAGCTCCACAGTATGGCCCGCAGATATTGAATGAGCTGGATCTTCCTCCTTGTCGTAGGCATCCCACCCCTGTGTTTGATCCGATTCCTCCTTGGTGTAGTTTGTCTTCTCTAATTCGTCTTGACTTCCAATCAGGTTCTGAGGTTGCCACTCCTTCACTTTTTGCAGCTCATCTGGATGAGAAATACCCTAGTCACAGAGCAGTTTATTGTGATGGCTCGCGTCTGATCGATGGTCCGTCTGTTGCTTGTGGTCTTTATGTTCCATCTGTGAGGCAAGCAGTTGCATGGCGGTTGAATCCACATCACAGTGTCTTGTCTGCTGAACTAATTGCAATTTTGCAGGCCATGCGACTTATTGAAGCGGACTCCTTCCTTTACTGGGTATTATGTTCTGACTCTCTTGTAGCTTTGCAACTTTTGCTTTCTTCCACCAATACTTGCTTTGATCTGGTCTATGGCATACGCGAGCTACTCATACGGCTAAATGACTCAAAAATCGTGCATCTACAGTGGGTCAATGCTCACATTGGCATTATTGGTAATGAGCGTGCTGATGCAGTTGCCAAGATGGGACATCGCCTTGACCACTCTGCCTTGTTTCCTATACCTTGCTCAGATGCTCTTGCTGGTCTTCGGTCACACTTTGTTCGTTTTTGGGAATTGGATTGGGTTACTACAGTAGCTACTGATGGAAGGGGCTATCATCTAGCTTACATTCGGTCTGGGATGTCTCCTGTCCCGTGGCTTGCTTGCCGTTCTCGTCGTGCAACAGTGGTTTTAACACGTCTTCGTCTTGGTCACGTTGGGGTTCGTTCTTATCTTCATCGATTTGGCATGGCTGACACTCATATGTGCCTGCACTGTGGGGTTGAAGAGTCAATTGAACATTTCCTCCTTTCATGTACACTATTCGATCACGAGAGACAGGTGATGATATCAAATATACATGCCCTGGGAGTCCCTTTCATATCTGTGCGTGTGCTCCTTGGTGGAGGAAATTATCCCTGAAGAGTTCAGCACCACATAGTGAGAGCAACCACCACATATCTCATGCAAACCGGTCGATTATCTACCATGTAGCTTGTGAAATGCACTGGATCAAACAGTGATTTGCGTTTCGATTTGTCACTTGTGTTGGAAAGACGTATAAGACAGCTAGCGTAAACAATCTGTTTAACAGTTAGCCAAATCTTAAAACAGCTCAATCTTGCCGATTTAAATGAACAAACATAAAAAGAAAGACTTCCAAGCCCCAGGGCCCCCTGGAGAAACGGAATGTGAAAATTTCACAGACTCGCAACTGAACTACTTTGTAGCTGCCGGTGACGATTGGGCCGCCCCGGCCGAGGCCGAAATGGAGACAGCAGTCACCATTGCTGATAGGCCAAAAAGGAAAGCCACAAACGACTTGAGGCCAGATACCAAGCAGAAGCGGAGTCAACACATCAACCCCACAAAGGATTCAGAAGCAACCAATGGTAGAAAAAAGAACCAAAAAGTAAGTGAAGTCACCAACAGTGGAAAATTAACAGTCCAAAGGAGTGAAAATGTGCCTGATGTTGCAGCTGAGACTCAGTTTGAGGATTCTAACATAGTAGGTGCTGAGGTGGTGAATTTGAATGAAGTTGAAAATGTGGCTCTGATGCCTGGAATAGAAAAACCCAGAAATGATGATTGTGTCCTCCTGATTAGACCATCTGATGCCAACTCTCAGAAGATGCTAACCTCTCCAGCAAAGCTCTGCACTGCCTTAGCTGCCCCACCCTACTCCACTAGTAATATCAAAGATGTTAGGGTAAACCTAAGAAAAGGTCTGATCGCAATAGAAACTGAAAACCCAAGCAGCCTTGACACACTTTTACCAATGACAACCCTAGGGGCATGGAATATCACCTGCACCCGCCCTAACCAATCAAAGTACCAGTATGGTGTGGTGTCACCTGTAGAAATTGATGCAGACCTGGAATCACTGAAAGCATGCCTATCAGTTGAAGGTACTGCTGAAATAATCCGTATTGAAAGACAGCAGCGGCAGCAAGGCCAAACTCGAGTGCCATCAACATCACTGCGCTTGGTGTTTTCTGGGGATACTTTGCCTCACCATGTGAAGTTTGGACATATTAGATACAGGGTACGTAAATATATCTTTCCCCCTCTTCAGTGCTTCCGATGTC